CACACACACACACACACACACACACACACACACACACACACACACACGCACAGAGATGCTTTACTCATGTTAAAAGTAGGTTTCAGAGTTTAAATTTACCCTGAAAGTCATGATGTGCAAGGCTTTAGGTCCAATCTCCAGCAAAACAAAACAAAAACCCAAACAAAACAAAAAGAAAAAGAAAGAAACAAAGAAAAAGGGAAAGAAAAAAAAAAGCAACATTTAGGGCTGGAGAGATTTAAGAGTACCATGTATGGTTCTTGCAGAGGACCCAAGTTCAGTTCCCAGTACCTACATCGGACTGTAACCTCGGTACCAGAGGGATCTGATTCCTCTGGCCTCCTTAAGTGCCTGCACAGACAAGTATATACTCATAATTAAAAGTCAAAAAACTTAAAAAAAAAAAAAAAAAAAGCAAGGTTGCTTAACAAGACAGTCAAGATTACATGGAAGAGAAAATTATTCCTGGTGAACTGGCTTCCAGGGCCCCAGCTCCCCTGCAGAGCTGGTCTCCGCAGGCGAGCTAAAGGAATTATCTCCAATACCTGGCTGGCCTGGACACTGCTACAGATCCTCCATTCAAGGAGGAGCAAACACCAACTAGTTCTTTCAATGGGAACCAAGGCCAGGAAAATGGGTAGTGTTTGCACAGGAAAGTCTAAGGAGCCAGAAGTGAACTGTCCTGCTCAGAGCAAAGGACTCTGGTGAAAGGATTTGTTGCAGGACACTTTCCTGTCTAGGCTGGATGTGACCTTCATCACAAAAAAAAAACCCCTACATGTTAGAGCTATTGACAAGACTCAGCAAGGCATAGTTTCCAGCCAAAAAAACAAAACAAAACAACAACCCCCCCCCACATGTTAGACACTATTGACAAGACTAGGCAAGGCATACTATCCAGCCAAGATTTCTCTCCTTTTTTCTTTCCATTTTATTTTATGTGTATGACTGTTTTGCCTGCGTGTGTGTCTTTGTGTGCTCCAAGTGTCTGAGGAAGCCAGAAGGAGGCTTTGGATTCCTAAGAACTGTAGTTATGGAGGGTTATGAGCCACCATGTGGGTGCTGGGAACTGAACCCAGCTGTTCTGTAAGAACAATAAGTGCTCTTAACCAGTGAGTCACCTGTCTAGTTGGGGGAGAGGGGGTCCTTTTAAGTTAGGGTCTCATGTAGCTCAAGGTGGCCTTGAATTTGCTATGCAGCCAAACATGACCTGGAATGCCTGATCTTGGTGTTTCTACTTCACCCATCATGCCCAGCTTTCATTTCTCTCCCTCTCTCTTTCCCTCTCTCTCCCTCTCTCTCTCTCTCTCTCTGTGTGTGTGTGTGTGTGTGTAACTATGCATACATGTGTGAGTCATGATTTCACACTGAACCTGGAGATAGGCTGACAGCCAGCAGCCTGGGACCCCACAGCACTGGAGTTACAGGTCACACCAAGCTTTCATATCTTATTTCTAAAGGGAAATCACACTTGGTGGAATGGGTTAAGATAGGGTCTCCCTACTGGCCCAGCTCCTTGCTGTAGGCAACATTGGGTGAGCTAGCCAGGGCAGGGCTAGAGAGCTCGCCAGGTAGTGATGATGAGGGAGAGCTGGCTGACCAAGCCAGCTACCACCCAGGCCCAGAACCAGGGCTATGAGTTGGCCCACCCCCACATCCACCTCAGCTGTGAACTGTTGGAGCAGGTGAAGACAATAAACCTACAGATCCAAAACAGCAGGATCTCCACCACACAGGACAACAACAGGATATCCTCGAGAAGCTCCAGTGAGAGCCCGATATTTATTGGTGGTGTAAGAGAAGTCAGAGGCCTCAAGCCTGGCAATGAACACTTGCAAGTAAAGATGAACAGACTAAAGGGTAAAACTGTATGACTGAACCGGCCATGCTACAGCTTCCACGACAAGATCCCCCCTCTCCCTCTCTCTGTTTTGTTTGGTTTCTCTTTTAAATTTGTTTTGTTTTGGGGGAGGTTGCAAGGACAGATGTGAGGGGAAGGGGAGGGTTGGGGAGATGAGTGGGATTGGAATGCATGATGTGAAATCCACAAAGAATCAATAAAAGTGTGTTTTGTTTTTTAAAAAGGGACGGGGGGGGGGGGGGCTCAAGCCTTTAATCCCACCACTCCTGAGGCAGAGGGAGGCTGATTCCTGTGAGTTAGCGGTCAGCCTGGTCTACAGAGCTACTTCAGGACAGCTAGAGCTGTTACACAGAGAAACCCGGTCCAAAAAAAAAAAAAAAAAAGCTGACCTCAAACTATACCGTACCATACCAATCCTTTCCGAGGCAACTCGAGATCATGAGGTCATGACACAACTTCAATACCTGTACATAGGTACTGTTGGGATCAAACCCAATGCCTTCGGGTGTCAAGCAAGTACTCTGTCGCGGAGCCATACTGCCAACTCCAGTGTCACCAGCAAAAGTTGAGACAGCCCAAGCTACTATCCCCAAGCAATCAGCAAAGTTCCTGAGGTGGTTTACAGTCTATCTCCAATTTCCATTGTCAATTTCAGACACAAGGAAAAACATTTGAAAAATCGCTTGTTAATAACCTTTCTCCTCTGTTGAAAAGGAATCTGCTGTGTTAGGTAAGACAGTCAAACTATATAATTCAAAGGGGGGAAAAAAAATCACAGAAACTAAAGTCATTGATACTAGGGGATCTATATTCAAGTCTTTCATTAAAAAAGTATTATAGGAAGTGGAAATAGGGCTCGGCAGGGAGGGTGCTCGTCACAAAGATCTGGTAACTGGAGTTACATCCCCAGACCCAGAAATGACTTCACAAATTTGTCTTCTGGCCTCCATGTTTATGCTGTAGCGCCCCCTACCACCATTCATGGGTAATATTTCCTGGAACTCACTATGTAAGCCAGGCTGGCCTGAACTCACAAAGATCTGCCTGCCTCTGCCTCTGCCTCTCAAGTACAGGGGCTAAAGGGGCATGAGCACCATGACTGGCAGTAATAAGTAACTTTAAAACAAAAACCAAAAAATCAAAACAAAGAGTTAAGCCTGGCTTCTAACTTTGATACAGAGTAGTGCTGCACACCTACAATCCCAGCAGCAGGGAGGCGGTAGTAGCAGAACGTTAAGAGTTCAAGATAAGCCCAAATTACAAAGACCATCTTGAAAAAGTAACAAAACAAGAAAGTGTACACCCAGTACACAAGTACATCCAGGTTGGGTGAGACTTGGCAGGCTCAGGCAGAAGGGTTTAGAGTTTGGGGCTGGCCTGGATTACTGGGTTATCCGAAGAGCCAACCTTTCCAGTCTCTCTGTCTCAAAAAAAGTATTAACAACTACCTAAAAAGCCAGACTTTCAGTGCCTTCAGCAACAGTGACAAGGGCTGCACTATCTACCTAGGGCAAGGGAAACAGTGACTCACACAGTCCCCTTTGATGACAACTGGAAATTAAAGAGTTGGTTGCTTTGGAAGAAAAAGTCACGGGGCAGGGCTTTAAAATTACACCTTTAAGGTTCAAGTCTAGGAGATGAAAAAAAATAACTGCCATCTGGTCCCAATTTCAAAGTCAAGTCCTTCTTGTTCCCTAAAATCATGAGTCATGGGAGGTGGAGGCAGAGGCAGACATACATACACGAGTTCAAAACCAGCCTGGTTTAAATAGAGAGTTCCAGGATACACAAAACCAGTCTCCAAACAAAACAAACATAAAACCAAAACTACAAAAAGGACCAGAACTAAAATCATATCCCCATGAAAATTACTTCTCTAAATACATTCAATTAAAATCAACCCTCCCCCGCTTTTTTTTTTTTTTTTTTTTTTTTTTTTTTATCTCGAGACAGGATTTCTCTGTGTAGCCCTGGCTGCCCTGGAATTAACTTTGTAGACAATGCTGGCCTTGAACTCAGAGAGGTCGGCCTGCCTCCACCTCCTGAGTGCTAGGACTAAACATGTGCCCCACCACCGGAGACATTTTAATCAGAGAGGCTGAATACTAATTTTAATAACCTGACCTTATTAATGGGTTTTTTTTTTCTCAAAGGGGGTAGGATGTAAACAAATTTCAGACAGCAGCTATCATGTGTACAGAGTTTACTGATGAAAGGCTAAAACAGCTCAACATTAGGAGGCGGAGATAGACGATCAGAAGTTCAAAGTCATCCTCATTAGCAAGTCTGAGGAGAGCCTAGCTGGCCTGAGATCGACGTTGGGGCGGCAAGAGGGGGGGGGGTTCTACCCCAACGTCTTAGTAACTTTTTAAAAGATGGTTTCGAGTCAGTTAAATAAGTACTAGTTTAAACATCAAACTAAATCCTTACACACCAAGTCTTTATTTGCAGTGGTAATGGGACAGTAAACAAAGAATGTAGTTGAAATGTTTGATTTCAATCCTCAGACAATGCCAAAGTTTTGAGCCAATGATTTCACAGGGCCCCCCATTAACTTTTCGTTAGCCCAGCAGACGAGAAACGAACAGGCTGAGGCGGCACCCCATTTGTTTTCCCAGGATCACCCTGTGGACAAGGCAAAAAGAGGGGTCTTGGCAGAGAAACAGGGGTGCACAAACAAAAGGCATGGCACAGCCTAAACTAAGACAGACAGACCATCCTGCATAAGAGAACTCTGGAACTCAAGGGGAAGGAAGAAGAAGAAAAGAACAGTTTTGCATTTTCAGCCCTCGGACTCCGTTCCAGAATTCCGCAATGACTGCCAAAAGCAACGGCCTTGGAACCAATTAACCATCACCCGCGACCTTCCGCTTCGACTCCCAGGAGGGGCCTCGTTCCACCTCGGTTTTGACTACTCCAGAGAGACACGGTGAAGGGCGAGCGCCCTGCAAGTGAGGGAATCGGAGACCCTGGGGGAGCAGGGCCAGCCGGTCCCGGCAAACTCCAAGGGAGCGGCACGAGAGTGCTGGCGGCGCGGGATGCACGGTGCCCGCCCAGCTTGGGGACCCGATCCTACCCGTCCCCCGCCCAGCCTGGAGACCCCACCAGCCCCTCCGCTACCCTCGCCCCCGCCCCTGACCTGTCCGCGCGGGGTCCCGGTGCACAGCGCGCCGCCTCCATACCCGGCCGGCCGGTGGCATCAGCGTCCAGACCCCAAGTCGCCGCGGCCGGGCTGGAGAGGATGGAGGAGGTCGGGCCCCGCCCCTGGCAACCACACCCCGCACTGTCGCCAACGCCCATTGGTCCATTGCCCGCCGCTCCCCTCTCACTGGCTAATGGCGCCAGCCGCGATGCTGGAGGGTTTCCAGGGGGCGGGAGACACCGGGAGGCGAAGGCGCGTGCGCGAGGTGAGCCCCGTCCTCCCCCCCTACACCCCTCCACCCTGGGTTGGATCCCAGTTGGCCCTGGGGGTGGCTTCTCCAATTGCTCCATTTCGCTGCCGCCTACCACAGAACTTCTCCCAGCACCCCACTGTTGCAATGAGAATAGCCAGGGTGCTGCCAGGATTGTGGTCCAGGGGTTTGTGAACTTCTGCCACCAGATGCCTCGCAGTCTGACCCGTTCCGGGATGCCCAAGACCTTCAGACTTCTAAACCCCTCACCCAAAACCCGACTGAGGGACCCCTACTTGGGAACCGTCTTCACATAACCTTTATCCCATAAAGGTAGCTGCTAAGCCTGTCCTCTCTGCAGTAACTCATGCCTCCAGCCATCAGCTCCTTTCTGGTTCTGGGCCCTCTAGGACTTTCTGACCAGAGCTACTGGATGTAGACTTGAATTGTAAGGCCGAAGTTACATTGATGTTGAATCCAGATTTTCACTTGGAAAAAAAAAAAATTGATGTATTTATGTAGAGACAAGATTTCACTACATAGTCTGGCTGGCCTAGAACTCAGAAATCCGACTGCCTCTGCCCCCTAGTGCTGGATTAAAAGCATGCTCCACCATGTCCCAGGCTATTAATTTATGTGCATGGATGTTATGCGATCATGTATGTCTGCATCCCTGGTGCCCAAGGCTGTCAGACAGAACCTGTGCCTTCTGGGCATCCCCAAATCATAACCGAAGAACCACCTCTCCAGGCCCCAGAGATTAACTTAAATAAGTACATATATATAGACTAGGGAGAACAGAACATCTGATATTTCCTAGTATCAAATTCTCACCCATATAAGAGGCTAGCGTGCCGGGTGCTAAAAGAGAAGGGTCAAAGGGTGCTATTTGTATGAGTAAGAGGACCACTGAGACACTTGTTAGCAAAGACAGCCCTTCCATTAATCCACTGTATGTACACACAATTACTGTAAGAATGCATTTTCCTACCACATTCGATAACGCCACATTTCTTCCACCGTAGTAAACAGAATCTCAAAACACAAACTTACACATCTGTCCCATATCTCCCCTACCCCACTGTATTCATCAAGGCAGAGACCCAAAGTTGTAAAGGTAGGTGTCAACTATTAACACCCTGAGTTCACATTGATTTTCTCCATCAGTGGAAGCTGTCACTGAGCCTCAAGATCAGAACCAAAAAATGTTGAATGAAACAAGTTTGAGGCAGAAAATAAATCAGCTCAGACCTTTTATAATGGGCCACACTGCTGCATGACTCACAGAAGTAGAGTTCTCTAAAAACTTGGAGCAGCCATTTATTTACAAACATTGTAAACAGTATGAGATAATTTAGAGGTTTAAACAGTTAATCTGAGGAAACTAGCAACAGTCCATGACACTAAACCCAACTCTTCCTGATACCAGGTGGCTTAAAAATCAAATCTAGAAACCAAATCCCAAGTCTAGGCCTCTAGCTAAGTCTTCCTCCTCCTGGGGTTCACTCCATTTCATTCTTTCAAGCCAGAGAGACTCTGGAAACTATGACCTCAGCAGCTTTGGAGATGTCTTAAGTTCGTGACATCCAGTCAGATCTTCACAAGGAACTGGCTCTTGTCCAGCTTCCCTCTCTCTTTAAGGTAGTTAAACAGGTGCCTTCTGCGTCTCCATGTGACCTTTATCCCATACTTCTCCTCAGGGGTGTCCTTGACCAGAACAGGCCCAGGCTCTGGGCTGCTGGGAGTTCTTGGGCCAAGGATGCAGCCTGGAAGATTGTTTTCCTTCTGGTCTGGGGAAATGGGATCTTCTCTCACAGATGACTCTGGGGTCTGGATATCAGGAGGCATGAACACTTGAGGTAAACTTTGAAGGGCATGCACTGACAGTTCCCCACAGCTCTGGGGACTGAACAGTGGCACTAAAGGCCTTCTGGGAGTGTCCTTTTCTGACTGACAGGGCTCTTCTCTGTTCCCGGATATCAATAATGTCTCTGAACTGGAAGACGGTGGACTCTCAAAGGTTAGACATGGGAACTTGCAGGTAGATCTTCGAGTTAAGTGTCTTGCCTGGCCTCGGGGACGATGTTTCCAGTGTGATGGGAACTGGCTTCCAGCTGCTGTATCAAACTGAGGTAGTACCTGTGCATAAAGAAAAAAGGTTTGGTTCAACTACCAAGGAAACGATCAAGAGACAGAACCCTCCTTTATTTCTGTCCAGAATTGTGAGAAGTCACTTATAATAAAGGACCCACCAACCAGCTTTGGGCCAGCTGTCAAGTCCCTCTGCCTTTCAGGTTGCTCCTGAGGGAGAGGAGGCGAGGTATTTGTCATCACCATGCATTGTTATGGCTGTCTTTAAACTTCACGAGAGCAGGGCTGGAAAGATCCCTGGAGGCAGAACCCAAGCTTAGCATGCTCAGTTCAGTCCTCAGCAAAGCAAAGCTCTCGAGAGGACAGGGACTAACAGACTTATCCCCAACACCTGGGAGAGGGCCTGGCAAGAGGCCTTCAGCAAAGAATGAATGGCAGCTACAAACAGGAAGTGAGGCTTCAGAAATGGGATCTAGCACACCATGTCTGTTCAATCAGTGCTTATGAACTTTTTCCTTTTCACTTTAGACAGTCTTACCATGTAGTCCAGGCTGGCCTCCAACCTGAGATCCCTCCCGTTGCCTCGGCCTCCCAAATGCTAGGATTACAGGTGTGCCTCATAATGCCATTTTTATAGGGTTTTTCTCCCTAAGGTTCAATCCATCTGACCATAGAATACCTAGTACTTTTCACATGAGTTACAGGAAATAGTCTCATTTGTAAGCTTAACATCTTTCTAGTTTCTTTACTAAGCGACTGGGTAATAAAATGCTCACTCAGAACCTTTTCAGAAAAACCTGGCAGGAAAGACTCCATTTCCATATAACATGTATTTTGGTCTGAATGAAGAAAAGTAAACATACCAGACAGGTCAGATCACCCACCACAGGCACAAAGAGTAACTGTTTCCCTGTCCCTGCTCCAAGAGGATTAAGAGTCAGTATTCTGAAAAGCCTAACACAGTAAAGGTCAAAGAACTTACCCAGGAAGTGATGGTGTCCTGATCAATGGGTTTGCTGGGTACCTGCACAGTGTGGGTAACCGGCTGCTGGGGTGGTTCATAACGGTGTTTGGGGCCCTCCAGTGGCTGTTGGTGGAATAGCAGCTGGGCTTTGTGGGACTGTCTCTGGCGTCTCTTTTTGGGAGGCATCAACAGGTAAAGGAAGAGCATTTAGTAACCACATGGTGCAGGGAGGCTTCCTGGTCTGCGTTGGGGTGCAGCTGCAAACCATGCCTGTAGAGAAGACACAGAGGCTGGGAGGAAATCGTGTGTGTGTGATTCCCCGCCCTTCACGACACATGCTGGTCTACCTACCAAAAACTACCACTCAGACCTCGGGTTGGGGGAACAACAGTTTCCCATACCACTTCACAAAACACATTATCTCAACATCATTCAAAAGCCACCTGCTGAACTCACTGCACCATGCTGATCACTAGGAACTAAAGACGGGCAAGTACTTATTCAACAGTCTCTGGCCGAGTCTTCAATCCCCAGCTCTGCCAAAAGGGAAAAGTGGGAAGGAAAGAAAGGAGCTGAGATTAGGGTCCTACCACTCGTCAGTGTAATGCAGTTTGCTTCAACTCACTGCACAGAAGGCTTTCTGAGTGGGAAGACACCTAACCTGCGAATAAAGAGCTGGGAGAGCAAGAAGGTCACTCCCGGCTGAGGAGCACCATAAGCCTCAGCACCTTAGGCTGCAACAGTACCACTTGGCTATACACTAGCCCTCTTATAATTATTTTTGACACTCACTATTTTGACTTTGTAAAGACAGGGCCTCAACACAGCATAGGCCGGCTTCAAATTCGCTACTGTAGTCTCTGCCTCCCCAGGTGCTTTTCCTGTTGCTGCCATAAAACACTCTGAGGAAGGCAAGTTAAGGAAGGAAGGAAGGAAGGAAGGAAGGAAGGAAGGAGGAAGGAAGGAAGGGCCGTTTTTGGCTCACAGTTCCAGCATACAGTCCTGTGTTGGAGAAGTCATGTCAGCAGGGGCTTGAAGGCAGAGGAGCACATCCCTTGAGCAGGCAGGATGCAGATGAATGAATGTGCACCTCCCGAGGATGCGAATTCAGGGTGGGTCACCTCACCTCAGTCTAATCTAGACAATCTCTTACAGACGGGCCCAAACAAAAAAAAAAAAAAAAAAAAAAAAAAAAACGTTAAGTCAGGTGTTGGCTCCCGTCTGCTCAACCTTTGCTTCTTTTTATTTACTCTGAGATAGTGTCTCACTATTGTAGCTTTGGCTGACCTGGAGCTGGCTATGTATACCTGGCTGGCCTGGAATCCAGATTCGGCTGCCTCTGCCTCCTGCGTGTTGGGATTAAAGGCATGCACCACCAGAACATCTTTTTCAGACTACGGTAGCCCAGAGTGGCCTCTAACTCGGGATCCTTTTGTCTGACCCCAGGACTATAGGCATGTGCCACATGCCTAGCTGCCTGCAACTCTTGCTAAAGGCAAAACTCAGTAAGGCTGAAGGCCCTGTTTCCTGTCCCACAGCATTACGCACTCCTGCGTGACCTTCATTCAACCTTTGCACTCACCAGGCCTCCTCCAGTCAAAGCAGCCTTCGGTTATTATTCTATCTGCTTCGAAAGTTTCCCTCCCTCCCCTGTGTAATGGGTAACAGAGCTTACAGTACATCTCGACTCATTAAAAAAAAAAAATTAAGAAAAGAAAAAGAGAGAAAGAGCCTTCCCTGTCCTGAGTCAAGATTGTCTCGTTAAAATAAATACTCAAAATATCTCAGAAGGCTGCGAGAGGGCCAGCCGGTGGCCCCAGCTACTCCGAAGACGGAGACGCGAGGGCCGAGAATTCTACACCTGGGGGGACCTTGTGTGAGACAAATCCCACCCAGCGGCCTCTACCTTGTTCCTCTGTGGCTAGAATTCTACGGATCTCATTCTGTGCTCCCTGTCCATCAGACGGACGGCGGGCCGGGAGGGGAGGGGAGGGGACGCCCGGGGCCGCCTGCCATTGTGCCTCCCGCTAGAGCAGGGCGAGTACGTAAGTCAGCATCTTGTCTGTGTCCCTCGAGGCTGGACGGAGGCGGAGGCGGCGGCGGCGGGCAGGGGCGGGGCGTAGGGCGCGGAACCGCGGCGTGGGGGGACACGCAGCACCGCCGGCCGCGGCGGTGGGGGAGCCGGGGCGGCGGCTGGGTCTCTCACCGGCCGGGCGGCGTGCGCTGCCCCGGAAGGAGGAAGGGAGGAAGGAAGTCGGCGACCGCGGCTCCCTGGGCACGGCCGCGGCGGAGCAGACCGCCGGCCGCCGCCCGCGCGTCCCCGCGTCCCTCCCGCCGCCCCTCGAGCCCCCCGGCGTCGCCTTACCCGCCCTCCCGGCCGCCGCCGCCGGCCGCCGCTCCTCAGGACGCCGAGCGTTCGGGGCCGGAACCCGGAGACAAGCCGGTGCCGATTGGCGACGCTCCGTCACGTGACCGCAACGCTCCGCCGGCGCCAATTTCAAACAGCGGAACAACCGAAAGCGGCGCTGCGGGACCCACCCCCCGGCCCGGGCTTCAGCCCCACCCGGCCCCGGCCTCCCACCCCGGCCACCCCGCCGGGACCCGCCGCCCGGGCCCGGCTCGGCCCCGCGTGGAGCAGCCGCGGCGTGTGAGGTGAGTGCGCTGCAGGAGCAAGTCCCGGGCCCGGCCGGGCCGGGCCGGGCGAGGGCTCGGAGCCGGGACCGCCGGGGCTGCGGGGCGCGAGGGGGTGTCGGGGACCGCCGGGGAGAAGGAGTGAGCCGCCGGCCTCCGCCCTCCCGCCGCGTTCTCCCAGCACCCGGGGACCCTGGGAGCAGGCCTGCCCCCCGAGTCTGCACACGCAGCCAGCCCTGCCTCCCTGGCAGGGCGGGATCCTCGCTGAGTGTTGCTGCAAGGTTCCCGGCTCAGGGTGGAGGAGAATCGGGTCCGTGGGGTGACTCTGCAAGTCGCCTCCGGTTGGAAGGTATTGGGAGTATTCGGAAGGCGCTGGTCAAAGAGAAGACATACCCTGTGGGGGGTGAGGGTGGTGGGGGTGGGGTGTCTGCTACTTGGTTGGGATGGGGTGCAATGTGCAGCAATTTGGAAACTGAGATTTTGAAGGTAGAGAAGACGAAATGTAAAGGAAAGGCAGCCACGGGGCGGTAGGGACCTGAGGACTCTTAAGCAGCTGGCGGATGTCAAAAATGGGTAATCCTTTTTGGCAGGTGTCCTTTAAAAAAAAAAAAAGACAGCTGGTTTCTCTATTTCTCAAGGGACCTCAAAATAGAATGACAGGATTTAACTTAATGATAAGCTATTTTACATATATCTATAAAAATCTATGAACTGCTTCTTCTAAAGAAAAGACTAGGTCCTTAACATTTCAAAGCCACTTTAGCGTAGCAAGGCCTGTAATCTCAGCACTGACTAAAGTGGAGGCCAAAGGCTCAACAGTTCAAAGCCAGCCTGTGCTACATGAGACTGTGTCTCAAAAATAAAAGGTACCTTAAGCATATTGGTAGAACATCTTAGGCAGGAGGTGGGCATTGTATTACAATCTTACTTTGAAGCAGAAAATTAAGGTGTATAAAGTAACATATCAACAGCTAAAATGCCATAAATACTTACAAGTATGGAGGTAGCACTGTAAAGATGGTTTGCAGATTTTTTTTTTTTTTTTTTTTTTTTTACTCCCCTGGTTTTTTGAGACAAGGTTCTCTATGGCTTTGGAGGCTATCCTGGAACTAGCTCTTGTAGACCAGGCTGGTCTCGAACTCACAGAGATCCACCTGCCTCTGCCTCCCGAGTGCTGGGACAAAAAACATCACCGCCATCTCACACACACACATACACACACACACACACACACACACACACACACACACACACTCAGCTAGTTTGCAGATTTTGAAGGAAAATACTCTTTAGAAAATTAATGTAATGGGCTAGAGAGATGGCTCAGTGTTTACTAGCTCTTGGTACCATTCTAGAAGAGGTTTTTTTGTTTGTTTAATTCGAGAGGACTGGGAATTTTATTGTAGAGTGCTTACCAAGCATACACAAAACACCCCAGTTCAATTTCCAGCACCACTAAAAACCTGTCATTCTAGCAGGTAGAGGCAGCAGAATTAGAAATGTAAGGTCAGCTGCTTTGTTTGAGACCAACATAGCTAGAAGAGAGTATGTCTCCTCCAGGAAAAGGGCACTGTGGGTAGAGTCTTTGCCTACTGTGTATGGAGCCCTGAGTTCAATCACCAGTACTGGAAATGTGAAATAAATGACTGCATGATCTGCACAACTTTGCAGAAGGACCTTACATAGGAAAGCTTCCCCCATTGGAGGTCTTGCACACTATTCACAGGTGCCTCTGGCGGTGCGCCCTGAACCTGTGACCTGCAGATAGAAACTTTATCAAGGCTTTGTCATAGAACGGGTTGCAGAGTCAGGCTTTGGTCAGGACTCCTATGTCCATCCATTTCTCGTTGTTCATCCCTCTCTACAGTCATTGCAAGTGATCTTCTGGGGGATGTGTCAGCATCTTCACATTGATACAGATGCCTTCTCACTTAGTCTGTTGAACAAACATCAAAAAGAGTTTTTACATACTTATGGTGTGGGGGTGGGGGTGCCCTCATGCCACAGCATGTATGTGGAGATGGGAGGACAACAGTCAGGGGTTGGTTCCTTTTACCAGTCCCAGGGATTGAGTTCGGGTGTCAGGCTTAGCAGTAGGCAACTTAACTCGCTGAGCCATCTTGTCAACGCCAAACAATCTGTTTTTTGATTTGTTTGCTTTTTTTGTAGTATTGGGAACTGAACCTAGGGCCTTACACAAGCTAAGCAAGCATTCTGTCACTAAGCTATGTTATATCTCTGGCCTGCCCAAACTTTCTTAAGTTTCCAAGAGATGGACTCCAATTCAATCCCACATTCCCCTCCTGGATTATTTGTTGGCTGTGATTTTTAGCTTTCCTTGGTCAGAAGTAGGGTTTTCTTTGCTTTGTTTTGAGACAGCATCTCATGTGGCCCATGCTGACTTTGAACTCACTGTCTGGCTGAGGGTGGCCTTGAACCTTGTAGGTTCTGGGATTACAAGTGGACAACAAACCCAGCTTCTGTCCTTATCGTGTGAGGGCTTGGCAGGTCCAAGCAGCATTCCCTGGGCCTTTTCAGCTTCTGCTTTTGGCCAGTCATGCAAAGGATTACTTCCAGTTTGTCTCAGCTCAGCAGATCTGTGACACTGAGCTTCTCGTCCTCTGCAGGGTCAATGCTTGTGATTCTCAATGGAGAGTGAGAGCAGAGCTTCATGATGAGAACCAGCCCCCGTCGGCCACTGATTCTCAAAAGACGGAGGCTGCCCCTTCCTATTCAAAATGCCCCGGGTGAAACATCAGAGGAGGAAACAAAGAGACCCCCTGCCCAGCAGGAGCCGACTCAAGCACAGGCCTCCCAGGAGGTGGCAGAGTCCAGTTCTTGCAAGTTTCCAGATGGAATCAAGATTATCAACCACCCCACCATGCCCAACACACAAGTGGTGGCCATCCCCAACAATGCTGACATCCAGAGCATCATCACAGCACTAACCGCCAAAGGGAAAGAGAGTGGCAGCAGTGGACCCAACAAGTTCATCCTCATCAGCTCTGGGGGGACCTCATCTCACCATCCCGGTCCCCAACCTCAGGCCCAAACCAGCAGTGATTGCAAGAGGACAGAGGTGATCACCGAGACCTTAGGACCAAAGCCAGCAGTGAAGGGTGTGCCTGTTCCCAAGCCACCTGGAGCCCTTCCAAGGCAAAGACAGGAAAGCTGTGGTATGTGGTTTGTAAGGCAAAGGGGTGTGGAGGCTGGTCCTTCTCACTGGTAAGACCTGCCTGCAGTCAGTCATGCTGATGTCTGTGGTAGACAGGAATGTAGGAGGGATCAAGGCAAAGGCTTGCTATTCTTTATCCTGAAAGCAGACCATCTGGACACTGTTGAAAGGGTTGCAGTAATGTAGCCTTCCCATCCCTCTTTTTTTTCCCCGTTTTTTGAGACAGGGTTTCTCTGTGGCTTTGGAGGCTGTCCTGGAACTAGCTCTTGTAGACCAGGCTGGTCTAGAACTCACAGAGATCGCCTGCCTCCCCAGTGCTGGGACTAAAGGCGTGCACCACCAACGCCTGACTCCCATCACTCATGTTCTACTGGAAAAAGATTTGTGGATTAGCTGGCTGGTCGGTTGGTTTGGTTTTTTTCTTTGGGTTGACTGTGTCTTAGTCACCGTTCTATTGCTCTGAAGAGACACCGTGACCAAGGCAACTCTTGTGACAGAAAGCATTTAATCGGGGCCTTGCTTGCAGTGTCAGAGGGTTAGTCGGTGTTCGTCACAGTGGGGGCATGGCAGCATGCAGGCAGGCCCTGGGGCAGTAGCTGAGAGCTCTACCCTGCCTGATCTGGGGGCCGACACAGGCAGGCAGAGAGAACCTGGGCCTGGCATGGGTTTTTGAAACCTCAAAGCCCACCTCCAGTGTCACATTTCCTCCCACAGGGCCTTTCTAATCCTCCTTCCCAATCCTTTGAAATGGTGCCACTCACTGGTGACAACGCATCCAAGCATATGAGTGTAAAAGGGCCATTCTTACTCAGACCACTGCCACCTGGAAGGAAGCAAATCTTCATCTGAAAGTGATAGACTGGAGCCTGGGGGGAAGAAAAGTGACTTGCTTGTGTCGCTTTCCAAAAATTGCCTTGACAGATGCCTAGGGTTCCATCTGGCTCGTTGAAATGTAGTTCAGTACTCCTGAATTTCTCCTTCCGTCTGTCACAGAGCAGAGTAACTTGCCATGTGTTCCCTGCCCCTAAGAGAGTGGGACTTGGAGGGGTTGTCTCCAGCCATTGATTTTGATGGAGATTCGGGGCACCTGAAGAGGCTGCTAATGGAGTCTTGGGTTGTTTTCCTTACAGCTGGCGGTGAAGTGACAGGCTGCACACTGGACAATAGCTTAACCAACATCCAGTGGCTCGGGAAGATGAGTTCTGATGGGCTGGGCCCCTGCAACATTAAGCAGGAGATGGAAGAGAAGGAGAATTGTCACCTGGAGCAGAATCAGGTTAAGGTGAACTGTCCTGCCACTCATTAGGGAAGTCAGAACGAGCGAGTACAGGGGATTTCTAAGACGGGAAATGGGTCAAGGAGAGCTGCTTGAAAAAACATCCAAGTTCTCACATTGGCACTACTTAGTGCTTTTGTGTGTAATTTTTCTTTAAAAACATTTTTTTGAAAAGGTATTAGAAAGTGACCCCTAGTTCTTGAATATAGTACCTAAAATTATGCCACTAGTAAGACAAAATGCTAGCTGGGAAGTGGTACACATGCCTTTAATGGGCGGCAGTGCCAGGCCTGGTTTACAGAGCTCAGGACGGCCAGGGCTACACAGAGAAACCCTGTCTCCAAAAACAACAGAAAAGACTGTGCCACTGAGCTATATTTCTAACCCTGTTTAATTTTTACTTTGAATCAGGGGCTGGCAAAGCTGACCT